TATATATATATATTTATATTAGAGATGGGAGATGGAGAATCGAATCAAAGGGAGAAGAAAACTGAGGAGAAAATGCTGGAAAAGCTATCCAGTTTAACATTCTCGCTGTTCTACAGCTTGTCTTGTTCTTAAAGTTTATTCATCAATAATTAAATTTTAAATTTATAATTCATTTACCTTAATTTAATTATTCTCAGCTTCCATCCTCGTGAATGTGATGGTTTATCTATTACTAAATTAAATATTTTACATATATACATATACATTTATTAAACATAATATATTGTACATTTTAAAATTATTATTATTATTTTATATTAATTAGTTATTTCTATCGATTTGTATTGTTTATTATTTGGGTTTCTTTAATATTATGTTTTTATTTCATAACGAACACAAATTTAAATAAAGTTTAATTTAAATTTAAACCCTAATATTTTATTTTCTAATCTTTTGAAAGGTTTAATTATTCAAAATTTGTGCCTTTAATTTTTATTTTAAAAGATAAGATTAATTGTAATTAAATAAATTTTTTGGAATTATATGTTGGTAAGCATATAATTCCATCTCTGGCAATGGAATATGAAACATATAATGGAAATTGTGTCTCTAAAAATGTATATCATTTGCAAGACTAGTTATATAAATAAAGGCTTATAATTGTATTTGGATAATTAAACTTTTTATAATTGAAATTCTAATTCTAATTCTAATTCATTATTACACCCCAACATTTACATATACATATACATATTTAAATACATAAATAAAATCTATATCTCCATCAAATTTTCAACTATGGGAAACACTCAAATTGTTTATTTGAATACCTTAAAATTCCATTAAAAAAAAAAAAAAAATCAGATTTAACATTTAAAAATGGCCAGCCAAATTTAAAAATTTATTTCTTTCAGTGCATTAATTCTCACAAACTCATTAAACACTGGCTGGCTAAACATTTAAAAATGGATTCTTTATATGTATTGAATTTTGATTTTTTTTTTTTTTTTTCAGTTGTGGACCTGTGGAACTGTTGGCTTCCGGATTATCTGTAAGAGGTATAACTGTTGCTTAATAATGAACATTAATATTTTTTAAGGACCTTTATTTATTTATATATATATATATATATGTATGAATGTATGTACATTAAAAAAAAAAAAAATCAAATCTTCAGTTACTTCTACTACTGTTCCTTTCTTACCCATCTTTTCTTG